CCAATCCAGCACTAGTTTTCAACAAATCACCCTCGCCATTTTGATCATTCGAGCCCCAACCATAATTATTTAGGCTTGTTGGAGATTCGATAGGAATAGAGTTGCTGGAGAACTTGGCATCAGCATCATCTAAATTACTATCACTTGTATTTTTAAACTCGGGTTCCAATCCAGCACTAGTTTTCAACAAATCACCCTCGCCATTTTGATCATTCGAGCCCCAACCATAATTATTTAGGCTTATTGGAATAGAGTTATTGGAAAAATTGGCGCCACAATTATCTAAATTATAATTTCCTGATATTCTTAACTCGGCTTCAAATTCAGCAGCTTTTTTTAACCAATCTTCATTGTTAGATTGATCAGTTGAACCCACTCGAAGTTCATTATCATTTATTTCATCATTAACTGATTGATAAGATGGTACCTGATGGTAATCTTCTTTAACTATTATCGTTTCAATTTTAATATTCTCAACTTTGGATTCCTCTTTGTTATTAGAGCCACTATTGGCCATATCAATGTCGTCACTGGTCTCTTGTAGTATCATTGCACCTGTAACATCATTATTGTTGCATAAATCACCACCACTTGAACTTAGTTCATGTTCAAAATTGGCAGTTTCATGATGATCATTTGAATCTTGTGCATCGCAAGTGTCTTTCGAAGATTTACTGATTTCAACATTAATTTCAGTATTTGGATTGCCATCATTGCCCTCGTTTTCGCTGGATATCAAGTATTCCTTTTCATTTGAAGATGTTTCTACAACAGCAGATAAACCAAAATCAACATTTGAGCAATTTAAATTTTTATTCGAGTCTGTGTCAACAGTTAAATTGATATTTACAAGATTATTTACAAAATTATTTACAACATTGCTATTTGTAATGATTTCAGGTTCAAACTGTGCATTCTGCAACATCATCAAAAAACTTTCTCGATTTAGCTCGTCATTACCAGATTTTATAAAATTGGATAAATCGTTAAATCCATCACTTTCTATTTTATTATCAGCAATGATTGAAGCAATTGTTGCGCTGTTACATTCATCGGCTTCGATTTCATTATCAACGACAATTGGAGCAATGGTATAGTTTGAGTCAACATTGTCTTCAATAATATATTTATTAATATCATTAATATCCGATACTGATTCCAATTCGGAGTTGAAGTTGTTGATATGTCGTTGGAAGTTTTGTTCTGTAACGTTGTCATCTACAATGTTTAAATCTATCAATGTGCTTGATATATCACTGCTAGAAATAACAACACTACCAACTTCCTTTTTTGGTTCTGGATCATCATTGTCATTCCTTTCACTGGAAATATCATCAACTTCCTTTTTTGGTTTTGGATCGTTACTAGCAACTGTTTCGAAGTTTGAATTATTGGCATTACCGCTATTATTATAATCATTATTAATATTTGTTTCGCTCGAAATAATATTATCGACTTCATTTTTTGGTTCTGGATTATTGTTAACAATTGATTCAACGTGTGAGTCAACATTACTATTTGTTATTTCAACTATAAAATCAACAACAACAGCAGGTTCAAGGACAGCTTCGGTAGACGAATCATATGATTCAATTGCTTGAGGTTTTTCAATGTTGCTTGATGATGATGACCCAAATACTTTAATATTTTTTGACGATAATGATTCGACAACTTGAAGTTTGTCAATGTTGATTATAGATAATAATGATGGCGTTGATGATGGTGATGACAATCTTTCATCATGTTGTGATTGTTGTTGTTGTTTCAGAGGAGAAAAAAGTAATGATAAATCAATGGGATCTGTTTGTATGCCAACATCGCGAAATGTTTTAATATCTGTATTTGTACCAATGCTTCTTTTCTTCACTTTGCTTGAAAGTATAAGATAAACAGCAGCAAAGGGTAATAAGGGTAATAGTATAGAGTCAAATAGAAAGACTATCAGTCCGATTATTGACATTTTTTTTGTGATGAAATTTATTTTTATATATTTAAATTTTCGCTGAAATTTGTTGGAAAGAAAATTTTTAATTTTTGTTAATTTTTGAGTTTGAGAATTAATAAGTTTTTATGAGAAAGTTATTTTATGAGAAAAAAAAAAGTTTTTTTATCAAAAGTTTTTACAAGAAAGTTTTCATGAGAGAAAAAAAAATTTATGTTTATCAATTATATCAATCAATTATCAAAGTTTGATAATAAATTTTTTTTGGAAATTGGAATTGAAACAAATTTAACATATTAGGTTAGAACAAGGTAGAAATCATGAGAAATAAAGAACAAATATGTAAGACTTGTGATGTAGTGACGTCGACAACTAACTTTACGTAATTAATGATACTTTGAAGTTTTCGGTAATTTTTTGTTAATTTACTATCATCACTTCATAAACATTAAAAGTCTTTTATTTTTTTTTTTCTCCCACGAGAGCTTTTCTTCAATTATAATAATAAATTGTTGGCCATTTTGTCCATCTTTGTTTACGATATCTATCTGTCGTTCCTCCTTCGTCGTACGACGACAATTATTACTATTTTTATACAACAATTGAAGAAAATCTGCGCGTCGAGAGTAAAACTATATATATAAAAAAAGGAAAATATGATGACTAGAGAAAAAAAATGAAAATGATGATGTATTAACAAAGTAATTGTATTAAATAATACATAACCTATAGAAAAGTATGATAAATTTGTATTAAACTTTTTCAATGATGATGTTATAAAAATAAATAAATTAAAATTTATTATTTCTTCAATTACTTTAATATTTTTTTTTACCATTACTATTATTTTATTATTATTATTATTATAAAAAAATATGAGTAAAAATCCAGATTATAATAAATATTTTACATCAGCTTTACAAAAATTCACCAATAATAATGATGATAGCGGTAGTGGTAGTAACAACGTTCCATTATGCAAGAAAAAATACCTTAAAAGAAATTTTAATAATACTCAACCAGAACAAACAATCGGAAAGGTGATCACCACCAACAATAACACCGATACTTATAACTATAACAATAATGATAAAGATACTATTGACGATAATAGCAGAAATAAAGATAACGTATCTAATCAAAATGGAAATCAAACCAAAGAGTCTCAAATAATTGGTTGTGATAAAAAAGAGAACAAAGATCTTTTCATTCAACAACCAGGAGAAGGAAAAAATGACGAAAAAGAATTATTAACAGCGGAACAGAAAGATGAAAATGGCAAAGATGAAAGATTAGCAAAAATGCCTGAAGAAATCGAGAAAACTCTAGAACGAATGGAATTTGTAAAAGAAAATAAGGAGGCGGAGGCATTATTAGAGGAGAAGGAGGGAACAATATCTGAAAATTTACAAAAACTAGAAGTATCGACTTTATTAGAATCAAATAATGATAAGATTAGTCATAATGTTATTGATACTGTTAATTATGTTATTGGTGATATTAATCATAATACTTTGGATCATAGTAATGATAATAATATAAATACCTTTTCAGTATTTCAAAATCAATTTCAAAATCAAGTTAATAAAAAAGTTGATTGTCCTTTGGATGAAGGATGGATTTATATTAAAAATATTAGCGAGGATGAATCAGGTGGTAAGTAATTACTATTGTTATTGTTATTATTATAAGTTATTATTACATAATCTTTAATTATATAATTATATATTATAAAGACGACATGATGAGTTATGAAGGTGAATATTCAATTTACTTTATATTCTCTTATATTAGTGTGTTAAATTCATAACAATATTTTGTTTTTTTTTTTTTTTTTATTACCATCGCGTATATATATAAAAAAGAAACGATTTGATTTTATTTTATAAAAAATATTTTATGCGAGGTTTTATTTCAAATCGTATTTTATTTATTTTTTCACGTTATTTTTTTTTTTTCATAGATTATTATTACATAAATAATTGATACTAAAAGAATAATTTTTTTTTGAAAATAAAAACTATTATTATTGTTGTTATTATTATTGATAAAATGATGATTTATATATGTAATTGATGATGATGATGATGACGATGATGATGAAGAAATACGAGAAGAACAAGAAGCGCTATCTTTTCAAAGTGCTGCAACGTTTCAATATGTTGGAAACGATAATCAAGTTTCTGCAGGCTTTTCTATTTCCTTTTTTTTAAATGTTAGAACTAAAGAAAGAATTCAAAGGAAACAAATTAAAAACGAGTAGAAAAAAAGAGAGGAATATATAGTGATGATGATAATAATAATAATACGAACAATAACAATAATACAATTTATATTTTATATTTTTAGATTGCTTAAAATAACGATATATATATATTTTCTTTTTTTTTTTATAATAAATAATTAAGTTTATAAAATTTATATTTAATATTCAAAAAAAATTTATTTTATTTTTTGACTTTATAATACTGTAGATGATGATGAATTTTCCGACAAAGAAGTAAAAAATATTTAATAAGTTGAATACGAAAGTTGAAAAATTTTTTTGCCGTGTTACAGCGTGTCACAAAAATAATTGGGTTATAAGAAATATATATGTTTCTAATTAATGTTAATATTAGACTGCAAAGTTTAATTTTTGGTTCATTAAATTCGATTATAATGACTTGCTTAACAAATTCAAAAAAAATTTATTAATTTAATACGAATGCTATTGAATAACCAACTCATAGCAAAGAGGATTTTTTAGAGATTGACTTTTTAGTTTAAAAAAACTTCCCTTTCTAAATCATATCAAAGCTTTTCCAATTATTTGTATATACCTAATTAATACCCTATACTTTATTATTATTTACCATATTTACTTTTTCAAAAAAAATTAATATTGTTGTAATAAAAATATTAGTACATGAATAAATATAATGTTACATATATTTTCTAAATATAAATATAATTATGAATCGTTGTTTATCATCGTTCGTACCCCGTTAATATTGTTATTTTATTTTGGATAATGGTTGGTAGTTTGCATTTGCATCGGTTTTTGGTCATGTTTTTGTTGGCAAGAAGTTTTTACTTTATCAACAAAGTAATAAGCAACCTCTCCTAATTCAGTTTCGTCAACACCTATTTCTTCTTCTTCTTGTTCTAGTCTAAGATTTAAACCGGGGATTTTATCTAATATGAAAAGTATGACATAGGTGACGATAAAAGAATAACCAAGACCTGCCACGGATGATGCTAGTTGATAAGCTACTTGTACGTGATGACCATCAAGCATACCACCGATTGGAATTTCAGTGCCACCAAGTAATGAAACGCTTCTTTGTGCAAAAATACCAGTCAATATATTTCCGGTAACTCCACCTACACCATGGACAGCAAACACATCCAATGCATCATCAAAATCAAAGATGTGTTTTAATTTTACAGCCAAGTTACATGCTATTCCACCACATACTCCAAATGCTATTGATGAGGCAGGAGTAACATAACCCGACCCGGGTGTAATACAGACTAGACCAGCTATTGCACCAGAGCAAAAACCTAGAGCAGAAAATTTTCTCTCGAGTCTATAGTCCATCAACATCCAGGTAAGTCCACCAATTGATGCAGCCAAGTTTGATGCCACCATAGCTGATATGGCTCTAAGATTAGCACCTAGCGCACTTCCACCATTGAAACCGAACCAACCGAACCAAAGTAGGACAGTTCCTAATACAACATTTGCTATATTATGCGGTTTAAATTCATCGCTGCCATGACCATTACGTTTACCGATCACGATACAATAAGCAAGAGCAGCGGCACCAGAAGTGATGTGAACAGGAGTACCACCGGCAAAATCTAGGCCGCCCAAGGTTGAGAACCAACCATGTCTTGACCAACACCAACATGCTATAACATCATAAACCAAAGTACTCCATATAAATATGAATATAAGAAGCGGTACGGTACGAGTTCTTTCAGCAGCAGCTCCAATTGCTAATGCAGGGGTTATCGCAGCGAACATCCCTTGATATATGGCGAAAGCCAATTCGGGAATTCCATCAGATGAAGGTGATGGATTATCATTAATATTAAGAAAAAACGCCTTTTGTAAATCTCCAATAAATGCGCCACCGTTCTCACTAAACGTTAAACTATAGCCAATCATAAACCACTATATATATATATATACATAATAAAAATCATTATCAAATTTTTTATTAAACGAGTAAAGAATTTTATTCAAAAAAAGAAAAAAGAAAACTACCTGAATTGATACAACTGGAATACATAAAAAACATAACATGATAAGTGATAAAGCATTTTTATTTCTTGCCATACCACTATAGAAAAAACCAACACCAGGAATCATAATCCACACAAGAGCAGTCGATATGGCAACCCAACCTACATCTCCTGGTTGATACCTTGTGGAATCAGCTGTAGTACTATTATCTGACATTATATATACCAATTGTTATTATTGTTGTTGTTATTGTTGTTATTATTATAATTATGATGCTTATATATCATCAAAGATAATTAATTATTAAAAAAATTTTTTTTGGAAATTTTGAATAATGAATACAAAAATGTGATTGTTATTTTAATATATGGAATTTTTTATGGACATCCTCAAGCTGAAAATCAGAAGATGATGAAATGATGAAGATGAGATGATGGGATGAAATTAATGTAGAAATAATTATATAAAAATGAATGATTTCTAAATAATTGCGAAGTAGGAAGAGGGAATGAAGTGATGGATGATGATAGATGATAATTGAAAGAAAAGATTTATAAATAAATATAAATATAAATTTTTGACTGATGACTTTTAACCAGTTATTATATATGTTTTATTACAATTGTTTTTGTTTTGTTTTTATTTAATTAAACGAAGCAATCAATTTTGCGTGAAAATCGATTACTTTTTTTATCATTAAGAAATTAAATTTCAGAAATGATTTTTTTTTTTTTGAAAAGAAAAAAAAAAAGAATTTATTTTTTATTTATTATCTTTACAATACACATTTTGGGTGTAAATCTACGTAAATATTTGTCTCTCCCTATCATTTAATAATCGTTAATTGTTACACGATAATTGATAAAAGATAGTTATAATGGGAAAATTAATTCTATCATTTATATATATTTGTTATTTATTATTATTATTATTGACATAAATAATAAATAATAAGTAAATAAAAAAAAAAGTAACAAATTACAATATCCCGATAACGTTTTGTATATTGGTTTTCTAATTCTGAATCACAAAAATAATTAATTGTTTATTATATATTAAAAAATATTATTCAGTCATATCTCCTTCATATCTCCCATCCACCTCGGTTATATCCCACAAAAAGGAAAGTACGACAGTTGTAGTTTTTTAATTTTGAATTTTGAATTTTGAATTTTTACCATACAGAGAAATTTCTACGAGAGATAGATAACGAATTTTTATTAATTTTTATTATTTACATTACGCAATCAAGTGAATATGACGATTACTTCTATTTTTAGGTATAAACAAATGTGTGACGCGCATGATCATAACATTTGACGACGTCACGTGTAGTTGAAATTAAGGGTTTTTTTTCTATACATATTTTATATCTATTCACGAAAAAAAAAGAAATCTTATATATTATTCGAAAGGATTGGTTTTTCCATCTTGATGATAAGCTTCGTTATTCCTTTTACGTTCTTTACCAACTCCAGCAAATTGTTTTACCGCTAATTTTATTGATTGTATTGAATTTCTTTTATTATATTGGTTCTTTGCAGTATCGACATAATTATCATCGTAATAATAATAATATTTGCCATTATATTCGCCACCACCAACGACATTCGCCATATTATTATTGTTATCGTACTCATATTCATATTCATTTCTTAAAATTTCTTGACGATAGAGATTTTCTTGTGCAAAAATTGTAAAATCTTTTTCATATCTAATATCACTATTACCTTTGCTTTTCATTATAAATATACCCTTGTGTTTCTTGTTGTCTTTAATTTTCATACAATAATTATTATTATCACTTGTCTTATTATTATCGTTGTGGTTGTTTAAAACTTGGAAAGGTGTTTTTAGCATGTTATTTTCTTCTTCGTTTTCATTACTTGAGAGAGGAAACTCAGGTTCGTAAAAATCAATTATTGAATTTTTTGTAGATGCAATAAAAGTACCGGTTGAAGAAACGGGAGATGGAAGTGATGACGATGAGGAGGATAAAGATGATGAAGAAGACGATGAAAATATAGAGATTCTTTTACGTAATTTTGTAAAACTTCTTGAAGCAGATTTTTTGGTTACATCAATGATGTTTGAATTTTTTTTATTTTTCACATTCTGATTATAATAATCTTTTGAACGAGACATTGTTTCTTGTTCATGTTGATGGTTTTCTAATTTTGTTGGCATTTTATATTATTATTATTGGGTTTTTTTTAGAAAATATATTTTTTAGAGGGATTTGTTTGTTTATTATATTATTTTAGATAAATTTCAGTTTTATTTTTTTTCGAAGTGAGAAGTTTCGATATCTTTTTATAATGAAAAAATATGCACATGAAAAATAATTAATAATGTTAAAAAAATGCTTTAAAAATTTTTAAGTGACACGAATTGAATAGTCAAACTGTAAACATTTTTAGAAATTATTAAACATATAATAATAAATAATACTATGTTTGTTAATTTTATAGATGTGTAAAAAATATGCATATTCAGTAAATTGTTATTACGAATTTGGTAATCTTTACTAACTTAAAAAGTCTCTTTAAAGGGATTGAACGTTTAAATTAGGCAATTATTCGCTTATTTGATACAATGAAGTGCATGTCGTTATGTGGTAGATTATTAATTTTTCTCCCTAACAAGCTTCGTGTAACAAAGAATAGTTTCGAATTATATCTTTCCCTACTTGCTTCGGTTTTTCATTTTTTTTTTTTTTCCTCATTACAAAAATAAAAAAGTTAAATTATTACGAAAAAAAATTATTTCTCTTAGGCTTTTCTATATATACATATTTATATGCATGTATTTTAATTGGAAAAAAATGGAAAATAAGGAGTAAAACAAACAAAAAAAACGCATCAAAAAAGCCGAATCCGTGTATAACGTAGATCGCCTAAGCCCGTAGTACAAATGTAGGTTATTATTTACGTTTATTCATTTTAAAATGACAGATCAAAAACTTGTTGTTGTGATATGTATTAACATTATACGTTATCATTCATTATTAAATATATTAAAAAAGTAATATTATAAATGATTAATTAGAAAAAGAATAAATTTTCTTTATCATACCTAAATAATTTTTCCATGTCGAATCTTGTGTGCATTGATGGTATTGAACTTTGAGAGACAAAGTTTCGACTTTATTATCAATCTTATTATCTGCAAAAAATACTGCAATTGCATAGATTGAAACTCTAACTTTATCGTGACAAAGTTTTTTAGAGCTTTTTATCAACAAATTTGATCGCGAAAGCTAGACTAAAATTAGATGATTATCTCCAAATTTGACCGCGAATGCTTGGTATTATTTCTAAATTTGGTCGACCAAATCCAAACGTGTGTTGTTTGAAACAATACTAGCTAGTAACAGATAATAAATTATTTCCTAATTTATCAATCTAACCCTTTTTTTTGATTTTTGATACATATAATAGAAAGCATACTATATAATACTAATATTAATATATATGCATCAAAGAAAACATTTTACCGGACACAAAATTTCGATTAGCCTGTCATTATACCAATCAAATAGTTAATACTTGACAAAAAGAAACATTTAAACTCTTTATATATACATACCGCAGTAGATCTAAATATATATCTATATAAAAATCGCATGCAGCAAAGGGGTTTTCCCAGTCCAGGTTCCATATAGTAAGTAAGCTTTAGAGAATTATGCTCTTACATGTGACGAGATAGTTTCAATAATAAGGAAGAAGAGGTGCAGATCCTTTACAATAGGTGAAAGACCGGAATATTTATTATTATTTGATATACACGTTGGCAAAATGTTGTTTGCGTCAATATTAACTATTGCATCAATACTAAGTTATGAGTCCATTTGGTAGCCAAAAGCAAATTCTATGGTTTCAATTCTGATTTACTGACAATCTACAAAGCTTCAGTTGTTAACCTACATGCATACGGACCAGCGACAATGAAACTATTGATTAATAAATTTTATTTTATAATAGAAACAAAGGTGATTGATAAATGATTTTCAATTATATCACTTAACGGTAAATGTTCATGTTCCTCGAGACCCCTTCATCTTCGTCTTCACCTTCAAATCGAAGTCGTTAAAAATTAATAAGCATCTTCAATTTGAAAAATTTCGGAAATGAAGTTAAGCTAGATGTACTAAACATAAGAATTTTAATATTGGAGATACGAGTTTTCCGGTATAATTTTGATTCATCAAATAAAACTCGTTTCTTCATCTTAAAATATTATTTCATAATTCAACTAACCATAATGGCGTATCAATATTATTGGAATGATTTATGTATTGTCACTTTTTGCATGCATATAATTCGTCATTTGACAAATTATCTCGTGTGTATTTGAATCAATAGCTTAAATGATTAGAGGTTGGAACTGGTCAAAATCCGGTTAACCAAGGCCTTAACCAGTTAAGTATATATAAAAAAATTTTTTAAAAATATTTTAATAAAAAATAAAAAATCGCACAACTATGTAATTATGTTGTCATTTGTCATTTGATAAAATTTCTTTACAATTCTTATGTCTGCTGCTCATTATGAAGCAACTGTTATTTTATCTTTCAATAAAATATAATAATAATAATAATAATAATAATAATAATAATAGAGATAATAATAATACTAAAGCAAATATATGTTAATTATGATGACAATAAATTATAATTACAAAGATTTTAATAGTTAGTAAATCAATTTAGTCGTGTTTCACTTTTACTCACCATTCTCTTACATTTAGTCGATAATGTGAATGTGGCTTCATTTCACCTACTGAAACAAAAGATTTACAATTAAAATGGAACGATTTGTTATTTTTAACTAGTGTTGATTTCCAAAACTAGAGAATTGTGAAAGTCAAAAGGCTTCGCCATAAGTCGAACTAGTTTTGATGTTTGACTATTGACTTTTGATTTAATCTCTTGACTTTCGCCTCTTCGAAATAGTTTTAGCGATCAACACCAATTTTAAATTAAAAAAATCGATTCAAGATTCTTCTGGCTAAAATGCATGTCGATCCTTTTCATTTATCACAAATTGCGGATTAAGAGTGATCTACATTTTAACCGGTTAATGGAATACTTCAACCGGTTTCCAACCTCTATAAATGATCCCAAAATGTCACTATATTTCAGCCTAGTTGAGGTAGTGTTCATAAAACAATAAAATAAACAGAAACCAAACATTTTATAAACAATTCATCATTATTGACAGACAGCTTTTGGTTCATTCATCATTGTATTCTTTACTATTCCAATTTTTTGATTTTACATATCAAATCAAAGGTTTTTACATAATACTGTTGTAATTTCCATCATTTGCTGGGGCGTTACACATCAGTATAAATACTAATATATAACTGACCACAATATATAAGCATAGTGGAATGAAATGTTACACTAATTTTTTATATTATGCAATGTAACTTTACAATGCACGGCAAACATTCTGGGCAATAAAATTAAGTGATAAACTGGATCCGAACTTGATTTCCGTTTTAGAGAGGTAACAACTATATATACTGGTGAAGTTTCAAGAGCAATAAATGGGTTCTGTATAACATTTCGTGTAACAACAAACTTCCATTATGTTAATTCAAACTCTCAAATAGACCTCTATTTAAAATTAGTATATAACTACTAAATAACATATACTTCAACATAATGGCTTTATTTTTTAATTTTTTATTTATAAAAAAAAAGTTTTAAACAAAAATAAATAAATTTTTTAATAAAAATTTTAAAAATCTACAGCCATTAAGTGGAAGAGTAAGTTCCAAGCTTTCATTTGATACTATTTTTATAACAGTAAGAGAAGGATTGATTTACTAGATAAATTTTGAAATTTCGTAGATATTTATTAGATTATTACAATCGTAACTCCATATAAGGGCCCTCCATACAAGAACACCTCTTTTTAAGAACACATTTTGCTTTTACCAATGGTGTTCTCATATGGAGGTACAACCGTATATCTTGAATCCATTTTTAGAAAGATCATCACGTTGAATGCATTTTTCGCGAAATCTTAGAACTTTATATTATTCAATGCTCAGGTCCTTATTGTGGATATAAAATTTAATGATTTTGTACTATCTAGAACTTAAAAAGTGAAATCAATTATCAATAATAATACATTAATAACAATAAAGATTTGCTGGTTGTGTTTTGAATCATGTTTTTAAATTTTTAATTGCTAGTTTCCTAGATCTTGTAGAATCATGAAATTTCATATGTTTAATATCTAAAACCAAAGGTTTTCATTTGATATAATTTAACCACAAGAACCTAAATCACAAATGACTTTTTTATCATGTAGAATTTTTGTAGAATTTTCAAAAAACTGCATTTGAATACTTTCTTCTAGGTACTAAAAGCAAATATTTCAATGTAAATAAATTTTTTTTTTTTATGCTTTAATTTTGTATTGCGGAATAATTGTAAATAAACAAGTTAGTATTAGGTGAATATCCAAAACTAATAATTTTTTTTTATCATTTTACTCAATAAAAAATCCTCACATATAATTAATTCCCTTATATATGTGGACAACTATTTTTATGTTTATTATAATTTGTAACATCCCAATCATTTATTGTTTGTTATTGTAAACGATCACAATTTTTTTAATAATGAGTATAAATTTAGTGTGCCTGCTACACCAGATAATAAGATTATGATCTTTCTTTGCATGTGACGTTTTTCGTTAATACGTGTAACAAATCAATGAATCCCATAAAATGATTGATACAAATACAAATAAAAGATACATAAATAATCAATGCAAATCTGATACCAATGGTATGTCTTCGCTTTTCAAGGTGTAATCGTTTTTACCTAAGCCAGTATTTTTATACTGCGCTTCTCTCAACCAAATAATAATGAACCATATATGTTACAAGTATTATTTGGTAACAAAATTAAAATTAAATGTTTATTTATCAGCCAAAATATAGCACAGTGATGTTAATCGTTCGAGAGACTGTTGAATTTTCGAGGATAATGGTTCAGAATAGTAAACATGTACGCATTAGGCGAGAACACCAACCAAATTCGCTTTTATCATTTAAATACAATCAATGTATTAATTGTATTAAATTATTCACGGATGATTCAATACGTATTACTAAATTTGGAGAGAATGAATATGGCGCAAATATCTTTTGAATTTTGTGTTAGGATTACAAATTATTATGGAAATTCCAAAAATCTTAGAAATATGAAAATAATGCCGAAAACGTTAATGTTTGTTTAATAAGATTACTTTGAAATGTTTTTGTCATTAAATTAAATTACCTGATCCAAAAGATAATGAGTTCTTTATGGATTATAAAAAATAATGTCAAAGCAGAATTGGAAATTTCAAACAAATCTTTAAAGTGTTATGAAGTTTTTAGTTTAATACTATATTTGGCAAAAAGAATTTTCTTGGTATTAATTTTTATAAATAAAGTAATACGTATTTTTTATTGCTATATAATCAACCCTAACGCAAAATTCAAAAGAGAAAAACGCTCAACCATCCTAATCCATCTTTCTTTAATCATAGAGAAAAAACGGGTCTCACAAAAAGTCGCTCCGCAGTCGTTTTTGGGTTTATCCCTTAAACGGGGTTTCGACTATTGATTGTGTTTGATAGCAGCCCATGGGGACAATTTCCGAAAGGTTACACCTTTATCCCTCAGTTCGTAGGGATAGAGCCTCAGCCTGGGAAAACATATAAGAGTGATATCCCCTCCCTTATCAATTCACTCAAGATCTACGGACCAGGTGATCAGAGATATATCCGTGCATTTATATTTATCCCTCGCTGTATCCCTCTGAACACAGGGATAAAGGCATATTAATATTAATATATGGTGATCAATCAGGATAGTCGAATTTTTTTTTCTCTTATAAAAAACTTTTTCTAAAGGTATACTTCCTAATACGAAAATGATCTTTGAAAATAAAATTTCGGTTATTGTCCTTGTGGTTTTCGTAAAATCTTCCTTAAAAGTTGGTCGATCGACTATTTTTACTACAGATCGTTAAATTGGCCAATAAGAATTTAAGAGATAATTAATTTTTATATATAGCTTAGACAAGGAAAAAAACGGGGTTTTTACATCATTTTTAACTAAAAAAAAACAAAAAAAACTGCAACTATAGTCGTTGAGGACAATCCTGACAGAGCTTTCAAATCAAACATAACATCAATGACATCATTATCTAACAAGATAATAGGTGGTATCGAAAGAATAGTCAATGGTAAATAATTAAAGAAATAAAATAAACTCATTGTGGAAACTTGAGGAGATAATGATTTGACTGACGTCGAAGGTGAAATTAATCGTTGAAAGAAATGATGGAGGCCTGAAATAATAGTGATAATAAAAATAATAATGACATTAACGATAATCTATCATCATCAATTAAACGTGGTTGTAGAAGGCCCAAAAAAGACCAGAATCTAAATAGTAAAAAAACAAAAAAAAACTAACACTGATGTATCTGATGCAAACAACAACATTAATAGTGATAACAGCGATAAAAAAGTTGACATTAATGTTAATTCATTGCCATTGGTTAAAGATCAAGATCTAAATGGTAAAAGTGTAGAAACCATTCCTGGTACTGATAAATCTGATGCAATTAATAATGTTTATTTACCATAATCAGCTAATCATGGTCATGGAAGATCAAAAAAAAAAAAAGATTTTAAATGGTAAAGGTGTTGGAATCAATCCTAGTATTGATAAAACAACAATAACAGTAATGATAATGCTTATTTAAAATCATCAGTTAAATATGGCCATGGAAGGTCTAAAAAAGTCAGTTTCTAAATGATGAAGGTGCTAAAATCAATTCTAGTACTGATGAATTTGATGCAAACGTCATAGTAATAATGTTAATGTAAATGGTAATGATGTTAACGGTAATAATAATTCATCGTCATTGGTTAAACGTGGTTGTGGAAGACCTAAAAATATCACTAAAAATAATCAATCACATCAATATAATATAAAAAAGCTGGACATGGTTAGACCAAAAAATCGTAAAAAATCCAAACATTATAATAATATCATTAAATGTGACAGGGGCAGGTCAAGTAAAAATGATTACGCATCACAAAATCATAATGAATTGGTTACAACTTCAGAAACTACAAATAAAAATAAAAATTTTGATTTTTCAGATAAAGTTGAATTCTAGTAAAACATAGTCGTGGTAAGCCAAAGGAAATTGATGAAGAAAACACTAACCTTGTTACTGAAAATTCCAAGAAATACAAGTTGAGTGATAATGATAATACAGATGACATAACAAAAAGATCTAGGGAAAATAACCACTAATAATAATAATAATAATAATAATAATAATAATAATAATAATCATTAATAATAATAATAATAATCACTAATAATAATAATAAAACAAATTGTTTTAATGAAATATCGTTGATTATAAGAAATAATTAGAGATTCAAATTAAAGAAGATTTTTAAAAAGAAAACTTAATATTAATGGGGGTTGGTGGGTTGAAAGCTTACAAAAAAATTAATTTATTATTATCATCATTATTATTATTATTATAACTTTTTCTTTTTTATTTGTATATGAAATCAAAATTTATGATCTTTAATAATATTATTAAAAGATATTTATTGCTTTTTTTTTGCCATTATTATTGGTGTGATTTTTTCTGCTTGCCGACGTTTTTTGGGATTCTTCATTCTCATCATCTTTGTCATCATCATCTTTAGATTTGGACTTTTTTTCGTTCCATTCTTTTATCAAGTCATTAGTACAATTTCTAGCTGGTTCCTATTCATCATCATCATCATCATCATCATCATCATCATCAATATTAACAATATTATTAACAATATTATTAACAATATTAAATAACTAAATCAAAAAAACATTATTTACCCAAGATGGTTCCCAAGGTTTTCCATTTTCATCTTTACCTAACCAATTGACTAAATAATAAATTTTTCCATCTTCCTCTTTTTCATCTAAAAGGCACACTGCTGACCAAAAGCCCATATTTGTTTATTATAAAAAAAAATCAATAATGTGTGGAAAATATATCTGTGTGCGTAAATATATATAAAATATTTAAAATTGATGATGGGTAGTGTGTAACAAAAATACCATGATTGGCTGACTAATAATTATTTCCAAATTTGGTAATTTCCACAAACATCGCGTTTTGTAAAGGTTTTAGGCTACCCTTAAAAATTAACACGTAAAATTTTATTGGTCAGGTAAAATAGGACCCGAACAAATCTTCTTGGGAGATGGCACATTTGAGAAAATACCCACTTTGTTGTCATTTTTGGAAATTATTTTTGCGATCGACATCAAATTTATCTTAATTAAGGAATGATATTCAAATTTTCTACCCAAAATTGACCAGTACTAAGGTCCTGGTAAAATCATGTGAGAGACATACTGGTTTCACAAACTTTTTAGAATTCCTTTAGAAGTAAAGTTCATCAATTCAAAATTAATCAAATGTTTGAAATTGAGGAAATAATTGGTAAGTATAATTACAAATAATTTGAAATATTTCAAAGTACAATCGAAAATTTTTCATTGGGTAAGTGGAAGTGTTGCCCACACACTCCACTTTATTGAAAAAAATTTTTTATGGGATTAATTTTAATTTGTCTTTCATCAAAATGTTAATCTTATTTACAATGTTACAGATTCGTTGTTTGAAGAATATAGTTCAACATATCTGAAAACTCAATCAGAAGAAAATTTTTTAGATGCACCTCAAAATTATGAGAAATTAATTAGTAAAGCGTTAGTAAATCATTTATTTATTTTTTATCATCATTATATTACTATATTTTTTATTATTATATATGTTTACATTTATATTCAAATATTTAAGATATCAAAGAATTTACGATTATGAAACTTCGAAAGTAGCATCTATTTTAGAAGTTGAACGAAATACATGGTGTTTACTTCATGAATTAGAAGCGTTTGTATTAATAAAATTATGAATCAATTCTGTAAATCTGAAGATTTTTTGATCAATGTATGCATACATAAATAGACTTCGTTTAACAGAGAAAGAAAAAACCAAAATAACTGAAGATCCATTTAAGACAGATAAGAAACGTCTCGATGAACTTTTTATAATAGATGATGAATTTTCAGAAGCTTGGGTGCGTTTTTTTTATATGCTGTGTTCAAACAAATACAATAGATTAATTATTTAACATTTTTTATTTTATTTTGTATAGGTTGTACGTCAGTGGTTACAGAGTACTGCACCATCATTTAATCAAGTTGAAACTTTTACTGAATTTTTTCAAGACACTCTTATAGAAAATAACACAATTAATGATAAATCAAAATCAAAATCAAAAAACATTGAAGCAAGAAATGAAGAGATTCTTAAAGAAAATGATCATATCCCTGATTTTAAATTGGTGTCGCTACTTGGTCTTTTTGAATTTAATGGCAAATTACATCCAAATGATGAAGTAATACTTTTTTTTATGATAATTTTTAAAATTATAGTTTAAAGTTTTCTATATTTATATCTATAATTTAAATCTTAATAGGTTTATAATAGGGAACTTTATAAATCAATATTTGAATATTTACGTAGAGGAGAATATGAAACTGCTTGTGATTTGTGTAATAAAGCTAGTCAGCCATGGTTGGCTGCATGCATAAGTGGATTTTTTTTATATGATGAAAAAGGTGGGGGGTTTTTTTTTAAGATAAAAAGAAATCTTATTCAAAAAAAATTTAATATTTATTTAATATCTATTTATGCATAAAAAATAAAATAAATAAAAAGATTCGGATTTTATCAATTTTGATGAAGAAACATTTGGTAATTTCAATAGAGAGATATGGCGAGTAGCATGCTATAAAGCAGCTAAAGAGGTTAATGTAATTTATTTATGAAATAGAATATATAACAAATAAATATACATACACTTTGTATATACTGAACTATATTATAGATGGTATTTGCACTTAATTTTTAATCTAAAATTTTTTATTAATTTAAGACACATCGAGACAAATACAATCGTGCAATTTTTTCTACACTTTGTGGTGATGCGGAAAATGTATGTTATTTAACAATAATTAGGTATTATTATTATTGTTGATTTTGGTGTTTGAAAGATATTTAATTTAATAATTTGAATGTTAATAGGTTCTTCTTGCTTGTAATTCTTGGGAAGATTATCTTTGGGCATATTATAACGAATTAGTTGAAAGTAAACTAGAACAGGTTTGTAATTATTTAAATATTTATTATTTAAATATTAATTAAATTAATTAATTGATACATGTATCTATCTGTTTAAAGTATTTTTATGGAAGTATTCGTCAAAATAAGATTATAATTGATGACTTTAGAATTTCATCCAAAGTATTAAATTTATCACCAACGGATATATTTATTAAAGTAAAATCTCATGAATCTAACAAGTAAATATATATATATATAATATGTATATATAATAAAAAACCATAAAAAATATTTATTGATTATAATATTTAATTATAAATTTAGGGATCCAGCTAATAAGGCTTTTCATGAAATTCAAACATACATAATTTTGAATGATAAAGATGGAGTGATTAGATTTGTAAATCAAACCCTGTTTAATAAATACAATCTTCGTAATGATGAGTAAGTTATACTTGATTTTACAATATATATACACTTTTTAGGCGTACAATTATTAATTAATATTTTTATTTTTGATAGTTCGCTTCTTTATTCACACATTCTTCAATTTGCGGCACATTATGTATTATATTTATTTGATTTAATGGATTCAGTAGATAATGATGCTTATGAGATTCTTAAATTATATGTAGATTATTTAATAGAACAAAAGAAGGTAATTATAATTGACAAAAAAAATCATAATATTTAATTAAAATCATTACTGATTTTTTTTTAATTTCTATATAGGATTTATTAGTTCCAATATATGCATCCAAATTGCCAAGACAATTATCAATTGAAGCATATGCTAAATTATTAAAAAGTAATTGAACTATTTGATATTTACTAATTTATTTTGATATGATTTTACTTTATTAATTGTTTATTTATTCAGGTATTATAATGGAATATTATGAAAGTAGGTATAAAATATTTAAATTGGGTAATGAGTATGGACTTGATATGTTTGAAATTGCACAAAAAGTTTTTGGAACGATATATGAAGAAGTTAAGGTAGATTATTTGATTATATAAATATGATCTATCATATATAATTATATAATACAATAAATATAACCTTGATAATATAATAAAATATTTTTTGATAGGACAATTACAATCAAATGTCATCAATAATAATATTATCACCTAATATATCTATTGATCCACTTGATAAAATTCAAATTGATGGATTAGAATATATGACTTTTAATTCCAACCATGTTATGGAAACATTGGAATATGCCAACACTTTGTCCAGAAGATTTCTGTGTTTGTTTTATTTTATACATATTAAAAATTTATTATATACCTTTATTTATTATATATATTATTGGTATTAATCATATTATATTATTATATTATAGTATGTGGAAAATTAAATGCAATTCAAATGTTAATAGTGAGCTTGGGTAAAGATAATTCAAATTTAGCGAATTATAAAATGTCAGATTCAGATATAGAATTGGAGCATTTATTTTATGTTAAAATTGTTGACTTTTTTGTAAAGCATGTTGAATGGTTGGATATTTGGAAAAAAAAAATTCAAAAGTAAGGAAAGAATTATTTTAAATTTTCATTAGAATAAATTTTGTATGAAATAAATCATATTTTGTATATATTTTTTTTTCCTAAAAAAAGTGCCAAATTTGATTCATATCAAATTGAAGACTGGAACGAATCTATCAAAGTAAATTTTTTTTTCTCTTTTAATTTGATTTGATTATATTAATATATATATTAATTTTTTTTAAATTATTGTAAAGGAAAATTGTGAAAACTTGGAAAGATCATTTGATGAACTTATAATTTTATATTATAATCCACAAGATAATGATATAGACGAATATACATTAACCACAGATAAACGTTAGGGTCATTCAACTTATAATGATATGTTATTTTATTTAATATTTTTTATTTTAATATTTTATTTATTTATTATATAGATGAAGCTTCAACGAAGGAAATTACATCTATTTTAGATATTTATATTCCAGAAGTAATTATTCGAATGTATGATGTTTTTTATAAAACACGTGAAATTATTCCAGAGTAAGTATTATTATGGATATTAATTAATTAATTAACCATGTTATATAATATTAATGCTAATATATTATATTATTATATTAAATAGTAATTTATATAAAAGTTATCGTCTTGCTGACCTAGTGGTTGATGACGAACACAAACTTTACACACATTTCAAGAATTCAAATAAATTGAATTTATTTTTAAAAAATATAAGGATTTCATTTATTGAAATAATGAGAATAAATCCACATGTAATTGACAAATCATAATAGACTTAATAAAAAAAAATAGAACATTTTTTTTACTTTATAAATTTTTTCTTTTGTACAAGAAAAATTCATATTCAATCCCATTTTCTTCTTGCCTGCCTTTTGGTACTTTTTCATTAACAAAACTCTCCAATTCATCATGAGAAGCTAATCCAAAAACATTTTCATCAATTGTTGGAAAAAAGGTATCGCATTCAAAATTTTGATAAACCCTTGTAATCAAAATATGTGAAAAGTTTTTTGATTCCATTGCTTCTTTATAAACATATGAACCTCCAATAACAAAAATATTTGAAATGTTGGGATCATTTTTAAGATTTTCAATGGCTGCATCTAAAGTTGGATAAACAAAATGCGTTGTAGAACTAGAAAATTTTTTTAATTTATTATTATAATGATGATGATGATGATGATGATGATGATGATGATAATGTAAATCTAAAAAATTTTTATACCCTGAATTATCTATAGTTTTTGATATTACAATGTTTAAACGATCTTTTAATGGTTTATATTTTGGTGGAATAGCTTCCCAAGTTTTACGACCCATTACAACAGCATTTTGAAAAATCGAGTTATCATTTTCAAAGTTAATATCGTTGCTATCATTGTTCAATGAAATTTTTTTTGTTATTCTTTCAAAATATTTCATATCTTTGGAAAGTTTCCATGGCAATTGATCCTTGATACCAATTCCCATATTATCGGCCACAGCTGATACAAAACAAAGTGAAATGAAATGAAAATGATGCTAGATTCAATATTCAATATTCAACGTTACATTTATATGTGTGTATGTATGCTATATAAATTTTAATTTTGTTACCCGCAATTAATGCAAAATTTTTTGATCGCATTTTTGTTTGATAGTAATAGATTATTATTATTATTATTATTTTTATTTTTTTAACGAAATTTTTTAATCGCTGATCGTGTAAATTTGCCATATATGTATGTGTGTATACACACATAAATATAAAGATGAAGGATATTAGAGCTTGGATAACTATAAATGATTTGATAATAATAAAGATTAATGAATTTTTTAATATTTCAGTATATATAAATAACAATTTAATTAACACCTTGATTTGTTTATTTAATACTCTGTCTTTTCTTTTCTAACAAAAGCAAGATTTTAGTCTCCACCAGTGGCTGCTTCATCATCTTCACTCATTATTATCACCTGGCGTGCTTTCAACATCATGGCATGTCAAAACTGTTATTTATCAGCTTCATTTATCTCATCTCATCTGACTTTTCATTATGCTCGATCCCTCTAATACAAAATTGCATATTGGCACAGCAAACATATCGTAATTAACAAAAAATTAATTTTAACGAAGAAAATTATAATAACTATCAATAATACAATATAATAACGTATACATGGTATGAATAAAATTTATGATAAAAAAAATAGTAGATTTAATAATTTAAAAGATTCTAACTAATTGATTTTTCGTATTTTTCAAATACGTTGATTTCGTGAACATGCAGTAATTCTACAAGTTGCCCCGTAGTCAACAACATTATCCAATTTATCCAAAAATCGAGACCCAAGCTTAGCAGCCAGATTAAAGATACCATAACCTGAAAATGCTGCAATTAGAACACCCAAATTTCTGAATAACTAATTAATAAATGGGATAAAGTTCAGATAAATTGTTGAATAAATTTAATTAATAACCAGAGTGATAACAAGTGGCGACAATCAGCATTCTTATGATAAACATTTACCCAGAAATCTCACCATAGTTGTCCCCTTTTCTTTTGGATTTCTTTGGCATGTTGAAAAAAGAATTAGAACACCAACATCTCACGATTTGTATAATCGAGGTTATGGTGCCCATTTACTTCTATCATTTTATCAGTAAGAAGAAGATCCTTCCAAAACATGTCACATGTTTCAAAAACATTTTCATCGTTTATTGGTGGTGGTCCAGTTCCAAAACTTTTTTCCATACCAAATTGACCCTCCTGACAGTTGCATGGAAAGTATTTCTTGTTGCATCAATATGTTTCCAGAAAAAAAATGACGAATCCATAAAATCAATGTTATCAATCACAGCAACATTCCATATTGAAAGGTGACTTGTGGTTGACGAGGTTGACGACAGTTTGTGGGGATGGAGGTCTAATTTTTTTGTGGGATCTGCTGCAAGCATTCTTTTAGTTCACAACGAAGTTCATGTCTTGATGTATGAGGAACTACACCAATAGTGTGAAAAACTTTATTTTTTTGTAATAATAATTTTTTATTGGTTTAAGTTGCGCAAAATTCAGGTTTTATTTTGTAGATCATTTCTTCACTTTACCAATATTTTCACCCTAATGTTATATAGATTAATAATAACTAGAAAATATTATTCAAGACCAAATGATCTGAGGATTGCTCGCCTAACAGAAAAGAAATCAAGTAAGATAGGATCTGGTAAAATACTTGTAG